CACTCCACACTCCACTCCACTCCACTCCACTCCACTCCACTCCACTCAACTCAACTCAACTCAACTCACTCACTCACTCACTTCACTCACTTCACTCACTCCACTCACTCCACTCACTCCACTCACTCCACTCACTTCACTCACTCACTCACTCACTCACTCACTCACTCCACTCACTCACTCCACTCACTCACTCCACTCACTCACTCCACTCACTCACTCCACTCACTCACTCCACTTTACATCCTGCTAGCACTGCCCCGCCGTGGTCGGGATAAGACCACTTGATAGCTTTGTTACGTTTTGAAGGTCTCATGCGGATCTGATCGCAAAATCCAGCGCCTCCAAACTTCTCTCTCCGCCTCCTTCTCTCTCTCTCTCTCTCTCTCTCTCTCTCTCTCTTCTCTCGTCCCTCTCATCCTTGTTCATCACATCATCAGACACTTTATCACACACCCACGCACACACACGCACGCCATCGTACCACACACACACACACCTCCTCCCTCCCCTCCTTCTCATCCTCGTCCATCACATCATCACTTATACTACACGTCTTAGCACAACCGCCTCATATACCTTCTCTCCTCACACTTCGTTCTTGACTTTTCATCTCACTACTCCGTCTCCCATGTGATGTTCATATACAATTGAAATTTGTAAAACTTATCATGTGGGGTTATCCGGCCCTTTTATTTTTCCTTTTGCCACAAGACTTTTGTCTTCGACTGGATTTTCTTAGAGGTGCCCACCCAGGATCCCGTGACCGGATCCGGTGGGCTGTCCTCCCGACCCTGTCCCCTGGCACCTTGACAGGTGCCCATTGACCAGGGGACACTCGGGTGTTTGGCAGCGGTGGGCGAATCCTACCGCCTGACACACTCTTGTCCCCCTGGCTTCGGCATTTTGAAACTGACCAAAAGGTACAGGGTCTGGGGGAGGACCCCAGCATCAATCAAAGCGCATTTGGAAAAAGCCTGCGTGCAGCTTTTTGCGCTCTTGGGATCTTTTTGACTTCTGGGTACATATATATATATATGTTCAAGCAGGATTACTAGCTTGTTTGTCCTGATCAGTGCAGCTCCACAACGCTACTTGATCATTGCAGGGTTGTTTAGGCCTGGAAGTGAAGTTTGCCCATGTCCCGAAAGATACGGACCTTGTTTTGGGGTGGAAGAAGCGATATTCTGACCACTGAGGCCATCTCAACCCGGACATCGCCGCAAGCAGTTGGCCACTGTGCCCGCGTCCGGTGGACGCACGTATGGCCTCGACATCCCCAGCATTGAAGGCACTGTGCACCAGTGCAAGACAAAAGGGTATTGAGTTTTCACAATCACAATTGGGTTGGATGTCTGAGAGTTTGGGCCGAGTCGCGCAAAGGTTATGTTTTTCGGGTGCAAATGTTGTTTTCTGAACTGGTCAGGATACTGTCCCGACATGAACCCAACCGCCAGCCTGCCGGAGCTCTTGCATGGCAGGTTTACCAGCCTCCACGCGCGTCCACAGCCGAGTCGAGCTCTAACTCCCCAATCAAGCGAAGGACTGACATCGTTGAGCTCATGTTTAACTCGATGCATCCCCAACGGAACTTCCACTATGAAATAATGGGCGTGACGTGCCTTTCAAAGAACTTTATATTGACTTAGAGTTATATATAGAAACATACATACATAGTTTTCTTATTTTATATAGATATTGGAGCTCCCATTCTATAGTGTACATTGGGCTCGAGCTGACCATTTTGTAAGAATCGCACCCTTTCCAGTGAGCTCGATTTGTTTGTCATTTTGTCGCGCGCCTGTGACCACCATGTTGCAAGCATAGATTGTGTGCGTGGGTGTGTCTTCCATTCATAAGAACAGCTTCGGGCAAAGGAAAATGGAAGCAAGGGACACCAAAGACTCAGGCAGCTCTGGATGCGCTGCGAGAGTTCCCGCCAGTTCTGGGAAGCAAGAAGGTCTACTTTTGGATTCCTTTCCTCCAGGTTCATTTGTGCAATCAGCTCTTCGTTTTGCCTTGTTTGCTTGACACAGGGAAGGTTTGAGAGCCGTGCAGAAAATCTATGTCCAGTCCTTAATTTGCCCTCAAGGATTCAGCTTGTGACACTACACCGAAGTTTTTTTAGAAAAACTGCATTGAAAAACTAATCAGTACCACTGCTTCGACTGGGCAACTTGGACGGGCGGATCTTGCATTGCACATGTGCCCGACATCCATGCCAATTGCGAAGTGATTCGCAACGCGTCGATGAAAGTTCTGAATGGTCCTGGCTTGGGTGGGCTTCTGCCTTGCTCCGCTTGGAATGGCTCTGCATCATAGGTCTGCTAGTCTGCTTCCGCTGCTCGTCAGGCACATCAGCAGTCTTGGCGTTCTCTCCTTCTTCCATCTCCTCTTTTGACGCGCTGTCAACCCAAGGAAAGCATTCCACAAGCATGAACTTAGTGCGGCCGGATCATTCCGCAAACCGTGCTGTGTTTGTTTGTAGGCTGGGGGCTGCGCTGCACAAGCTTTCTAATGGCAAGCTTGCATCTACTGTCCTTTACTGTTCACTAGTTGTTGGTGGCCTTGCTGCGCAAGCTTTCCACATCGCAAGCGTGCGCCTGTGGCGCGGAACTCGTTCCACAAACGCCGGTCTAAATACCCTTGTAACCTCCGTGGGACCCCGTTTTGGTGGGTTTTCTGGAACAAGCTTTTGACTCAAACGTGTGCATCGCCGTGGCCGGGAATTAGCTGCCACAAGCCATAAACGCCGCTCTACCGGCTGTTTAGGGGCGCTGCAGAAGCTCTCTACATGGCAAGCTTGCGTCTACTGTTGCTGGGATTTCATGTCATTGCCCGAAACACCGTTTGCAGCGTTTTGTAACCTTCAGGCTCCATTTTGGTGGCCACACTGCACAAGAGAATTCATTCCACCAACGCCGCTCTAAGTACTTGCAGCATTTTTGATCCTGCGTCGGGCCGCGCTCCAAGCGACAGGCTGCACAAGCTTTGTGCGTCGCAAGGGTGTATATCTAGCCTGACCGCCCGTGAATAGTAGGATTCACGCCAGCTTGCTTTCGGTGGCCTTGGTGACGTTGTGTTCCGGAGTCTCCCATGTCCTGCCGCACAGTGTGCTCAACTGTGTCGAGAATTTTTCAGGCTTGGTATCTTTTTGGAACACTGCCAGCAATCAGGTCTTAGTCTGCGCCTCCAGGAATACATTCTTAATTCTTGAGTCTTTTTCTTGCCCCCCCCCCACGCTGGCATCGCAGTCATTCTCCCGCCGCTCCTCTCCCAGCTGATTCACACCAACTTAGTCACACTTACACACTTGAGATGAGTGCTCCGTGGAGCTGAGATTCGGAGGTCCGCGGTGAACATTAGCACTTTAAGATTAGTTACTGCAATACCAGATTAGAGCGCTGAGACCTTCACCTGTGAAATGGCCCTGTGAAGAACAGTAAGGTGACAGAGTCCGAGAACAGTTTTGTTTAAATCACTCCGGATTGAAAACTTGTGCAGGTACACAATGCGGCGTCCCACATTGCTTCACCACAAGCTGGACAGTGTCTTCGTTGGGCAGTGTTTGTCAGTCGTGCACTGCCCCCGTGCTAACCGTGTGCCGAGCAGTGAATAGTCGATAGGCAGTAGAATAGCGCCCCTGGAAACGGGAGTTGACACACACAATTTGCCGAATCGGCGCTGCTAGAAGCGCGCTAAAAGCGTGCAAATCACCTACATAGCCACCTAACAAGCCTTAGAAAGAAAAGGAAATGGAGAAAGAGCAAAAGGAAAAGGGCAAGAGTGAAAGTAGGTGAAAGTAGTTACAGGCAGTCTGTGAGATAACGTCCAAGCAAGGGCGCCGAATGAACGGCAAATTAGGAACCAGCAGGTACTGGGGAACTGAAGCCGATTCCGGCGCAACCTGACTTACACCTAACAAGCCTCTGGGAAGAGAGAGACCGCAAGAAAAAGAAGAACAACAAAACAGGAAGGAGAGAATAACTTCCCCGCAAGCGTGCCGAACGCATCGGCGAATTATGTTACAAGTTGATGATTTTCACTGAATAGAAAAAACTTGAAAACTTGAGGAACTCTTCACGTGTGAAGCCAATTCAAATGTAAAGGATCAGGAAGCTCTGCAGCATAATTTCAGAATACAGAGTGAAACGAATTCGGAAAAGCACATCTTTGAGTAAGAAACGTCTGCATCAAGCTGAGAGCCGAAAAGGACAGTACAGAAACTGCTCTCCGGTAAAGGAGTAAAAGACTCAGTAACGGCGGTTCAGCCGGGCTCACACAGCTTACCGCAGTGGGAAGAAGCTGCGACACACACACACACTTGAGATGAGTGCTCCGTGGAGCTGAGATTCAGAGGTTCGCGGTGAACATTAGCACTTTAAGACTAGTTACTGCAAAAATTACCAGGTTAGAGCGCTGAGACCTTCACCTGTGAAATGGCATCGCAACAGGTTGGACCCCATCGCTAGCCAGGTTGGCTGCGCACAAAAACGACGGCGTTTCGACCTCACATCACAATCTGATTAAACATGAAGCCATCGCACTTAGGTTGGAGGCCATCGCATCTAGGTGAGAGGTCACCACAACGGGTTGGAGGCCATCGCTGGTAGGTTGGCTGCATACAAACCTAAACATTCAACGCGCAGACCAGCGCATAGTCCAATCTTTGATTGAAAAGCAACAGCAAGCATGACTGCAGTACTTGAGAACCTAAACAGCCTTGCGTTATGAGTGGTCGGTATTTACAACACTCACAAACCAACGCAGGTACATGGGATTGGCCAGGCCCCACATCCCGCGATATCACCCAGCTTCATTGGTCAAGGTTGGTGATATCGCGCCTTGACCCTCTGCACTCTCACACCGACAAATGACCTCTTTGGGAGGGCACTACACTCGCAATGAATCTTCTGATCATCTTCCTTGATAGAAAGTTCATCAATTGAAGATTCAACATGGCAGCTCAATACAGGTGAAATGAAATGAAAGAATCAAATCACAGCTGTACACGACAATGAGTCTTCACAAATCATCTTCCATGAAAAAAGTACATTCAGAGGAACGCACATTTTTTGAGCAAGTGATATCATTCCTGACAAAATGTATTCACAAGTTCACTGAGGTTAAAACCTACCGCATAACATTCACTCACTGCCAAGGCTCAACTGCCTAGTCCACGGCTCTCACGTTGTCGGGCCTTTCGGTCAAAAGTCTGGCCCCATCTGTATTCTTTCTTCTCGGCGCTAGAGACTCGGGCCGGATGCAAAGTCATATACATGGGACTGTGACTGTCTGTATCTCCTGGACGAGAGCACAAGATGTCCTGATCAATTGGAACAAACTCTGATCAATGGGATCAATGAGAAAAGCTAGCTCTATACTCGCGTCATTGGACATAGTATGACCCCACTTGTCCCAATCACGACCAATGAAATGAAATACTCATACTCCTTAAGACCGAAACAGGGTACCATGTCCTGGGAACAATACAGGCTTTGCATTTGCGTCAGCTTTCAAGCGGTTGCATTTGCGTCAGCTTTCAAGCGGGCCTCACTGAACAAACGAGTCCAGAGTTGCATGGTGCTGTAGTAATAGTTGTACATAGGTTGACTAGACGAACTAGACGTTCTATACGCACAACTGTTAGCATCACCAGTAAGGCATCATGATGTCTACCTCGTGCGTGAAGCACTCGTAGAGCATCACAGCAACCTGCTCACCTGTGAACGCGTGAGTTTTTACGGTCCTGAAAGTATCTACATGCAAGTTGCAGATTGTCACTCGCTTCAATCGACATCGTTCCAGTGGAACTCGATCTTCTTCATGACCATAATCTTCGAACTCATACTGGCGGTCCTTGAACTCACTGCGCGGCCTTGTTTTACCAAACCTGATTTCAAAAATAGCCCATGTGACATCTCGACGTGGACAGGTCCCTAAGCTTTGATCATGACCGGCAATTACTTTTACAGAGCCGTCAGGTGCAATCTTACCAAAACAGCTAAATTATTGACGAAACGGACCAATTGTTTGCCTGGAGAAACTCAACAGCTTCTTGGAGCCTCCATGCTTCCTGAAGACAAACCACGCGAGCGCGCAAGTACAACAACATATTGAAAAATAGGCTGTTCTCCTGCTTGTCGAAATCCAAGGACTTCTGATTCCTGCGCCTTGGTCTCATCACGAAAGCTAGCGAAGCTAGCTGGAGTTACTCTTGCGATAGCAAGGTTTCTTTCGACCGGGTGCAAATCCTAACCCCTGATTTTTCAGGTCGAAGACCCCCCCCCCTCCCCTCCTCCCCTCTCCCCTCTCCCCTCTCCCCACCCCACCTCCCCTCTCCTCCTCCTTGTCTTCCTCCCACCTTCCCTCCCTCCCTCCCTCCTCCCTCTTCGCAAGTTCGACTCCGTCCTGTCGTCGCTCTTTGCTCTCACTCTCACTGTCTCACTGTCTCACTGTCTCTCTCTCTCTCATCTCTCTCATCTCTCTCATCTCTTTCTCATCTCTCTCATCTCTCTCTCCTCTCTCTCTCTCTCTCTCTCCTCTCTGTCTCTCGTCTTTCCGTCTCTCTTCTCTCTCTTCTCTCGCAGGAGGATCCGGGCAAAGAGCCACATATAAAGGACTCTTCACCCCTGCCTCCAAAAAGAGCGCAGTGTTTTTTCCTACCTCGCTGCCCTCCACTTTCCCATTCTGGAGCGCTAGCTTTCGCCCCCCCCCTTGGCCTCAAGTCAGTTCATCAGTTCATCCAAACCTGACAAGTACCGAGGAGTCTTGTACTTGGCGCCTCTGACCATCTCACCATAATTCCAACTCAACAAGACCTAACGTTGACGACATTATTTTCTTTGGACCCTCAGCTGTATCGCCCTTGAGGATTATTTTGCAAATCTCCTCATAGAACTCCACAAAATCCCATCTTGGTCCCTTAGGGCCATGAGCGAGCATTTCTTCCTTCAAATCTTCTTTTGCATGCTCAAGTGTTTGCTTAGCTTGTGTTGCCCGGTTGAAAAGAATTGAGGCAAATGATAGCCAAGAGCATGCGTGAAGTCGAGCCTATCATCGTTATTATTCAACTCGGCAACAGTTGCAACAAATTCATGATCTGAGACAGAGACATGACTATGCCAATGTTCCAAAGGACCCTGGCAAAAACACATGTGATTCAAAAGATCACCGTGTGTCTCTCAAAAGTTCATGCGGCAACTTTGCCAACGGAAATGTCATCAATTCATTTGTAGCTGGAGAAGATGAAGAGGGCTGCTGTTCAGGTCCTGGAAAGTCTTTTTCCAAGCTGTTTTGCGCTCTCTTCTCTTCGTCCCCTTCATGTCCTCCACTTCGGCCTCGCTTGGATTGTCTTTAACAAAACGTGGATCATACATCCAACCTGCTTGGTTTCTGCGACCTTTCTTCTTCTGGGAAGAAGGAGGCAAGAAGCTGCTTGGAGTTGGGGCTGCTGATTCTATATAATTGAAGGTTAGGGTGTTGACTTTGCACGCGCAGGGGTCTTTTGATTTTGTAGAGATGTGGATGAGTATTGCTCTGCGCTTTTGAGGTTGAAATGACTCCATGGAATTTGCCGGGAGTTTGCAACACAGATATAGGAAATCTTTTGGGAGCTGCTAACCTAAGGAGAACCCTGAAGAAAACACCGGACTATAAAAGTTTCGCCAAAATTCAGCTTTTTCGGTACCCTAGATATTTTTAAAAAAAGAATAGGTGTGCTCAAAATAGGGAAGTAGATTATTGAATAATATGGTATATGTGTGGTGGCTACTGGCGTCCAACCCCATCCAAAATTCAGCCCCTTGGAGGCCAATTGCTCGCCCATGGACCTCTTGATATTGTGGAGGCTGCCAGACACTCCCAGGATCCCCCAAGAATCTTTAGCCCACCTCAGAGCTGGCCGGGTCATCGGAAAAGAGTTCGTACTTTTTCGGTTACACACCACAACAAACCATTACACGGGTGAAAACTAACAGTTGGGCAAAAAAATGGGCATATGTTAGTCTAGTTTCCGAGCGGACACCGTTGAGACTAACCTAGACCAAATTCAGATGTGCCATGGTGGGCCCTACGGGTACTTGGCATGGTCCATGTTAGCCTCCACCGGGCTATGTTGACCTACCGGCGCGGTCTATGTTAGCCTGCGTTCAGTTTATAGTCAGAGTGCAGTTGGTCCATGTTAGTGTCAAAATCGATCATAGACTGAGAGTAGGAACGGTCCATTATAGCCACACGCCTGACTCAGGTTTGTGGAAAGTTTGTGTCAGTGTGG